AACAATAAAATTAATTAAACATAAAAAATTTACCTCTCTTAAATATAAAAAAATAATATTAACTTAAAATAAAATTAAAATTAATTTTTTTTTTCTTTTAAAAAAAGGTCTATAATTGTGTAAAGGGATGGGCATAGATTATTTTTTGGTTAAACATCTAATTTGGTCCTTGAACTATTATGAGGATTCTTGATTTGGTTCCTAAACTAAAAAAATTCATGATTTGGTCCCTAAACTATTGTACCGACCCTAATTTAGTCCTACTATTTACCAATTTGTTCCAAGTTGGGCTTTTCATACAAAAAATAGTTGACGTATCCATTTAATGGCGAAAAATGGTAACTTAACAGCCATGTGTCATATTAATAACAAAATACGTTAGTTAGTTTTTATACGGAATGACCAACTTGAAGTAAATTGATAAACAGTAGGGACCTAAACTATTGTACCGACCCTAATTTAGTCTTACCGTTTACCAATTTGTTCCAAATTGGTCTTTTCTTACAAAAAATAATTGACGTGTCCGTTATTTAACGACGAGAAAGGATAACTTAACGACCATAACAAGACACGTTAGTTGGTTTTTTTACGGAATGACTAATTTGGGGTAAATTGATAAACAGTAGGGACTAAATTGGGGGTTCGTACAATAATTTAGGGATCAAATCAAGAATTTTTTTAGTTTAGGAACCAAATTAGTAGTCTATATAATAGTTTAGTGACCAAATCAGGATCTATATAATAGTTTAGGGACCAAATTAAAAATTTAACCTTTATTTTTTCGTTGAGTAATGTAGCATGCACTAAAAGCTAAAGGAGTCACAGGAGTGAATGGGTGACTCCTGCGCAAATCTGTAAACATAAATCCAAAAGTATTTTTGTTTTATCTACGGATACAATGGTTGGTTGCAAAGCTTTGAGTTTATCTTATCGCAAAATGTGGAACGAATGATACTAAAAGAAAGCAAAAAACGTCACAGTTCCGATCATGCATCTTTCTCTTTCTGTATTCCCTTCTTTTGAGTTTTCCCTCTCTACACCTTTCATCGTCGGGAAAACTGAGTTCAGATCCGGTTGTTTGATATGACGTCGGACGAGACGATGACCAATGTTTCGTCTATGCAGGAGGATGAGTATGATGAGACTGATGATGGGTATGGGTTGGATCATGATCATCAGCTGCATGGGGTTAGTTTGTCGAGGCAATCAATCTGCACCAACGAGGATGATGATTTTGGTCCGGATGACCGTATGAAGATATACATGTCGAGATTGTCGATGGAGAGCTTTGATGCTGATGCGGAGTTTTCCGATGAGAAAGAGGGGAAAGAACCGTTGGAAATGGGACTGGAACTGTCGGAACTGGCGGCTTGTTACTCGCTTCCGGCCACCCCGCCTGGTTGGAGGAGTCGGAGTGGGGTGCTGCTGTCGTGGGAGCTGATGGGTGTGGACAAGGATTACACTAGTGAGACTGAAACTCTGAGGCAAAAAGTGAGCAAGAATCTGAGGAAGAGGAGGATGAGGAAGGAAAATTTGGTAGGTAAAAACAGAACAGAGAGTGGTGGTGAAAAGAGGGAAGGGGATTTTTCGGTTGGATGTGGGAATTACAGTGGCAGTTTTAGTGGCGAGAGTGAGGGAGGAGGCAGCGGAGGCGGCGTGGTGGTGATAACGAGGCCGAAAGGAGGGAGGAGGTCGTTGTGTATGGACTTAGAGGAAGTGAAGGCTTGCAGAGATCTGGGGTTCGAGTTGGAGCACGAGCGGATGTTGGAGATACCGAGTCTGGCCGTTTCCCTCTCTGGATCCACTCTTGACACAAGCAGTGGTGGCGATTCTCCCATCGCCAATTGGCGCATCTCAAGCCCTGGTTAGTACAATTTCTGGGATTATGGTATCATCATTCATCCCCTGTTTTTGCATAAATGATTCAAGGGTTTGCTCAACTTCCCCTTTTTTTGGAGGAATATAAGTCATAAATCATAGAAAATTGATTGAAACTGATGGGGTTTTTACATGTTGATTTAGGTGATGATCCAAGAGATGTCAAGGCTCGACTGAAGGTGTGGGCACAGGCAGTGGCTCTGGCGTCTGCATCTGGCATTGCAGCTGAATAACCTGCTCTTACATGAGCTTCCTATGTTCCTTTTCTTCATTAACTTGCTCCTTCCAAAAGGATGTTTCTTTTCTAGGCTAGCCATTTCAATACTATGTTTCTCTTTTAATTTCTTCGCGCACAAGATGTAACATTCTCTGACTGTAAATATAACAATTAACAAGATGGAAGATGAGGATGAAGCTTGGGAATTGGCTTAAAAAACACACATTCAATCACCAGGGTGATTTTTGAAGTTCCGCATTCATCCTTGGTGTTTGTTGGACCAACTTTTGGATTGATACTGTTTCAGTAATTTGATCCTAAAAATTTTGTTTGTGGATGACATCATAAAAAGGAAAAAAGAATTTAACAGTATGAATTATATTAAATTATATAATATTAATTATTAAATAAAAAATATTTCAACTCATAATATTAAGAATTTTTTTTTATCTATTAATCTTTATCTTGTAATTCATCTTGTAATTCAGATTATAAAAGAGACTCTTCTCTGATACAAAGATTCTTTCTTGGAAAAGGTTTACAGCAACAACTGAAATGGTATTAGGGGAGTGTCAAAGGAAATAGTAATCCGTCTCAAATTAGAATTAGGGATTTGAGCATCCATAATTCCATATCACTCCATCCACAACCTTCAAGCAAACACCAATATATTTTTTTATTCACACGAAACTTGAATTCAAAGCCTTGCTTAAGAAGAATTGAACATTTTTTAATCAAATGCTAAGAAAACTTTGTAGTAATGTAATTTGATTTAGATTAATTTAAAATTAATCAAAACTCAATATGACTTTTATTTATCAAGAATTAGTAAAAAAATCAACCTTGAAGCTAACTAAAGCATCAGGATAGAGGGCGTTATGTCTAAAAGGTATAATTGCGTCAAAGGTTTCTCTCCGCCAAGGACGGAAGTAATCATCCTTTGCCTTGAATTGTTCATTATTTCATTCAAGATCCCCATTTTTGTAACAGGTTAAAAAATTGCTCCTATGTTGGGATGGACAACTGCATTCCCAAAATTATTGCACAGGAAAGAATCAATCAGGAAGAAACTTTGAACATATCAAGACACTGACGCACTTGACAAGATCTCGTGGTCATCTTCACCAAATTGATAGCGCTCATAGACTTCAAATAATAGTTCTCTACATGGCACAACAGCCCCAAGCTTAATGCAAGCCAAGAAAGCACCTGAAAGCTTCCTATGAAGGCTGTACACCTCATCAGGTGGTGGGGTGAGCCTGTGCTTCAGCATTGTTGCTCCGAGGTTTGAAATGCTTGGAGTAATGTTGGCGGCACTGAAATCATGCCCACCAGGCTTTGAGAATGGCAACCCCACAACAAAACCAGCCTGGACATGGGCATCGAGCATTATCTCTGATTCCATTCCTGTGAGGAACCCAAGTCTCTTTGACATCTCAATAACTGCATCTCGATCCTCATTAGAACAAGCAACAACCTAATCAATGAGTATGAGGAACCCTCAGTACATGCAATTCCAAGAAAATAAAAAAATTTAAGGAGTCAAATGATCAACAGTTTTTCAACACAAGTCAGGATACTTCACCCCATTCACAACCTTGAAGCAAACAAAAGTAGTAAGAGAGTGTTATCCACATTGGTTT